GCTAAGAGAGAAGTTCCCTGAAGATGGACTCCAGCACGAGTCCAAAAGCTCGGAAGACTAAAACCTCTGGTCCCAGTAAATGATCCAAACTGGATGCTGCAACATTATCCTGGGACACGTATATTTGCCTTCATTCATGGTTCATCATGGAGAAAATAAGTCTATGTGCCACTGACATGATGCACATGAGCAATGCACAAAGTCTAATAGGTGTTTAGTAAATGACTTGATTGCTGATCTGCTCTTACTGTAAAGAAATGTTTCCTAAATTAGGAAGTTGTTCAGCACACCTAATGTTTCTGCTTTTCAGAAACTTAAATCCATTATTTTACATCTTGAGCTAGATAGAAGACAGAGCTTCTGATTGATCTCCTTTCAAATATGGGATGAATGGTCTTACCCTCCCTCGGTCTTAAGAAGACATACATTCCCAATTACTTCAATCTCTCTTCCTAAAAGTTGTTAATCTGTCCATGCTGCCCTTCTCTGAACTTCTACTTTTTCCAAATCCTTTGTAAAGAAATGAGAAACATAATCATAAATAAATGTGTTAGGCTTCTGCTCAGGTTAACAGACTTTTTAAAATCCCAAAAATAATTTAGGATAAGAACCAAGAATTAGAAAAAACCTCTTCAATTCCAAGTTCTGAAATTGGATAATTTAGTTTAGCACTGTTCACATGTGTACACTTGTATTAGATTAGAAGATGTGTTAATGTTTAAGGGCATAGATCATCAATGTATAGTCTGGGTGTATAATCTAAGTCGCAAGAAGGGAGCGTTGGCAGCAGAGGGATACAGGCCTTATCCATGTTTTTGAGAATCCTCAACATCTCTATTTTAAAAAGAAGAATTAAAGAGAGGATTTAAAACCCTAGGTTTCAGGAAACAGGCGAAGTCCCTGATCAACTAAGGACTTTAGAGAGATTCATGCTGACCTACCTGCCACCTTTTCCTAATTAGAAAGTCGTGATTTTTCAGCTCAAGCCATCACCCAGAGAGCTTAAACAAATTAAGATCTGGAAGTCCAAAAGCCAAATGTGAATTGACACCCATGGAGCAGACACGAGCACAGCATGAAAGCGCCAACATGACAGATCCCCTAAGGCAGGTGCTGTCAGAGGAAAACAAGGGTTAAAACGGAATAGCAGCGGTTCAGAAGCAAACCCTTCTCCTACACTGCAAATTAAAAGACATCTCTGGCCCAGAAAGAGAAAGTATACCCAGTAATTATATTTTTTTCCCATGTCATCTCAAAGGAAAGGGAGGGGACAGCAAAGCAAAAAGGAGCGGGGCAAGATGACTCCCACTGTGAGCAAATATAACTCCATTAAAGGACGCACAGATGAGCCAAAAATCCAGATTCTGAAGAGGCTGAGCCCTGTTATTAGCAGAGACATAAAACTGTACAGACCAATCTTGCTCTATTATACAGTCATGATAACCAGCAGTTTTCTTCTCCTCCTTCTGAAACTGAGGAAACATCTTCTTGTGCCAGCCTCTCCCCCAACACCAGATTTAGTCCCATTCTGTCAATTTTTCCAAAGAGTTATTCTTCAGACAAATTGAGTCCTGAGTTCCCTTATGTAATTTCCGTCCACATTCTGTTGGGTTGGGAAGAATAAAAAAGGTGTTGCTATTTATATTGCATTTGTCCTTGGTAACTACCAACCTAATGATCAAAATCCTGACTGTGAAAGAAACCTGCTCCCTAGATTTCTGGCATGCTAGCTGGATGTCAGAAGAGACAGCTTTAATTTAATGTCTTGTTTTTCCACTACAACTAGTGCTTGAGGCAGCCAACAATAGCCCAGCATAAAATAATCAAGTTGCATTGAAAGATGATCACAACTGTATCAGAAAAAATATAAAATTCGTTGTTCTCCTCCATATACTACTCACAAAGTCTTAAAGCTGCAAGTAAACACAGAATTGTCAGGATTTTTAATTCAAAGTATTTCCTGTGTACAGGTAGTCCTCGACTTACACCAATTCATTTAGTGACTGTTCAGAGTTACAACGGCACTGAAAAAAGTGACTTATGACCATTTTTCACATTTAGGACCATTGCAACATCCCCAGTCACACGATCAAAATTAAGACACTTGGCAACTGATTCATATTTATGACGGTTGCAGTGTCCTCGGGCCATGTGATCACATTTTGCAACCTTCTGACAAGTAAAGAAAATGGGGAAGCCAGATTCACTTTACAACCGTATTGCTAACTTAATAACTGTAGGAGTTTACTTAACAACTGTGGCAAGCAAGGTCAAAAAATGGGACAAAACTCACTTAACAACTGCCTCAGTAACAGAATAACAGAGTTGGAAGGGACCTTGGAGGTCATCCAACCCCCAGTTCAAGCAGGAGACCCTATCACTTAGCCACAAAAATATTGGGCTCAATTGTCATAAGTCGAGGACTATCTGTATACTTCAGAGAACATCCCCAATTTTTATTCATTTTAAACAAAAATAAGAACTCATGTCTAAGATAAATTAATCGTCTGATGTTTAAAATAAATCTGACATGTTTCAAATACTGAGTCCCACACACTTTCTTCTTTTAATGCTTTCTTCTACAAAGACTGGTATCCAACAATGCTGTATGTTCTTTTGATGTTTTTCTCCAATGTAAAGCAGTTGTCTTTCTGCCAAAACACCAACATGTTTTTTCAGCAAGAACGTATGTCGTTTCTTTCTCCCACACACGTTCCACATTTTCCTTGTATAATTAACTGTAGTTGATGTTTCTTGTTGGATAGCTTGTCGTAAATATTCTAATTTCCTTTTTTTTTGTTGGTATTCACAAGTATATTTTTTCTCTCCTTTCATAGATGTTCGAGCCATGATATTTTAAGTATTCTGTAATCTGCATTTCAAAAGCAACCCTACTAATAATTGTCATTTGAGTTATGACTCAGCTTCCGTTCCATATGAAAGAATTCGCCATACATAACAACTTCTAACTAGCAAGGCTCCAGTCATAAGTCCCAGAGCAAACATGTTTACTCATTCTTGAAAAGCTACTCTCACCTGTTCACCCTGCTTTTTGTCCATGCTGCAATCCCATCTATCATTCAATATGCAGCCCAGATACTTATATTATTGCATCTTCTGCACTTGTTTTCCTGTTGGCATATTTGCTAACTGAACAGTGCTATTGGTGTGACACAATTATTTATTATTACATTATAGATGTTTATATTTTCTTGGCAATTTTCTAAAAATTATTTGAAAATAGCTTCAAAATATATATATTAAATAAAAGGAGAAATAATACATACCTATTGGACAGAAAAGATCTCCTTTCCAATCTCCTATCCCCCAATTAATCAAAGCCCTACCAAAATAGATGCTATTATGATGCAATATGGCAATATTGCCCTGAACATGGCAGTCCCTCCTTCCCCAATAAACAGTAATATGGCTCATAGTATCTATCTATGTGTACATATTCTGGAAAAGTGGCTGTCCCAGTGATCTCCTTCCACAGATATCATATAGATAGTCAGTCATACCGGTACATAACTTTTAGAAATTAGTGCAAGTTGTAGAAATCATCAATATATCTCATTGATTTACTGTACTGAAGATTAGAATGATCTCTTGGAGACATGCAGCTATCAAGCTATGCTAAAAAAAAAACCCAGGCTGGCACTGCCTCCAAGTGGCAAGAAAAAAAATCTAAAGAGAACCAAGATCTTTACATCTCATAATTTTACAGCTCTGTTCCCACCAATTGTGTCTATTCATGCATCTCTTCCATTGTCCCTAAACATTTATTATATTTCCATATTTGAAATACAGAGAAAGGGCCTATCATTTGGCAATGCTTTCATATGCCACGTGACAATATGAGCACTAAAGGAAGGCAAGGTGTTTGAATATTTGCCACCTTATTTCTAAAAATAATAAAGGCAGGATAGAAACAAATAAATATGGATTGAAACCAAAAGGGACTAACAAACGACTATGAAGGGCTGCTGTATGTTAAGGTGGTTTGAACTTATAATGTGAAAACTGTAAGGAAAATGAAAGCAGTGAAGATGGAAGAAGTGGCTGGATGGAGGTGGTAAGATCATCAAAAAAGTTGATTACAGAGGAAAAAGCAATGCATGGAAATGATGAAGGCGAGAGTGCAGATAGAAAAATAGAGGTACAGTAAATGTTCTTCATTTGATTTGTATCCCATCTTTTACTATTATTTTTACAAATATCTCAAGGCGACAAAACATATCCAACATGTCTTCCTCCTATTTTCTTCACAACAACCTTGTGAGGTGGGCTGGACTTGGAGAGACTGGCCCGAGGTCACCCAGCTGACTTTCATGGCTAAAGCAGGACTTGAACTCGGTCTTCCGCTTTCTGGCCTTAATCACCAAACTTATCTTGGACCTTCAAGTTTTGGGGTTACTGTTCTTACTCTGTCTCTGTGTTTTATAATGTTGTTCATTCTCAAAAGAATTAGGATGGTGGATGTGAATGTATAAACGCAGAAGAGAAAGACTTGTGGCTTTGAGGTTTTATCACTCATATCCTCTTGCTATTGTTCAGTGACTTCATGACACAATGAACAGGATTTTTCCAGATTGTCAATAGCTGCTTCCCTGAAGCTTTAAGCTTGCACTGGTTTATCTCCACCAGTGATGATATTAGGCATCTTGTCTCCTGTCTTCAATTTTTCAAAGCACTGGAGTCTTCTCCAGTGATTTGTGCCTTCATGTTCAAGGTAGCTAACCTTTTGCTTCGTAATTGTTTCCAGTGAGTAGTCTGATTCTGATCTAATATAAAATAACATTTCAGTTGGATATTCCACATATTTGGAGGGTGATAACAAAAAAGCCATTTTTTTAAAAAAAATATTCATTAGTATATGTCTGTAGAAAGTTATCACTGTACATTAAAAAAACGTCTGGCTGTAGAATAATGTGCCAGTGAGCAAATTTCAAAGAACAAACAAGATAAAAACACCGAAATGAAGGGCAAAAATTATTTTTAATTTCATGTAATGCAAATTACGTTGCAATTAATATTATTGTCCCCAATATATTTCTTTCCTTCTTTTACACCAGATATTACAATTCAACAGCAACTTGTGATTCTGGAGTCATACTTAGAGCTTTCAGAGACTGTGTGCAGCACTAATAAGACGTTTTAGACCCATGTTTTAAGATATAGGCAAGCAACCTGTAACCCTCAGCCATGTAATGCCCATCACGGAAAATATTACCTTCTTGTATTATTTATTTATTTACTAGGTTTTTATCCCATCTTTATTACTTTATAGGTAGCTCAAGGCAGGGAACATACCTAATACTTCTTCCTCCTATTTTCCCCATGACATCTCCTGTGATTATCATCATGCCACACAAATGGCAGCAGATAACCTGCAATCTATCTCTGCCAGCCTGCTGGTCCACTGCTGAAACTGCTAGTGTCCTGTTGCTCAGAGCAACTGGATGGTCCATAGTGGACTGCTAGGGATATGAGAGGAGATATATAAATGGAACCCTAACCAGAATGAGCATATGGACAAATGATCCCCATCAGAAGCTCTCCTGTCATAATTGTTCCAGCAATAATTGAAGGGAAAAGAGGTTTGGTTGCCAAGATCCCAGTGAATTGAGAACTGATCACGAATCTGACCAATTTTTGCTGTATTTACACAGGTCTGTTACAAACTAAGTTGCTTAGTTGCTCTTACAAGGAGATAGACCAATTTTTAAACGGCTTAGCGTGTTGTCTGATCTCAAGCCATTTGGTTAATTTACAGTTCAGTGCATACAAAAAAAATGAGTTGATTCAAAGATTTTCTTGTGTAAAAAGTTGCCTTATGCAAAAATATAGCAAAGTGAGGAAAACATTTAACTAATATGGAAGTCTTGAATCAAAAATACTAGTACATATTCTACGAAAGATAAGAGAAAATCTTATCTCTATCTTTTATGGAATATGTAGTACTCCTCTCAGAGAAAATCCTAGAAATTGAGCCCAGGCAGGCTAGAACACCTCATCTACTACAGGAAGACAAAAAACTTTTAACAGCAAAAGCCAGAGTGCAGATTTCTGATGCTATAATCAAATTTATTAAAAACAGCTAATAGAAATCAGAAACACTTGGGAATTAGTGGCACCTCTTTCTTAAGTCTTTCCGGAAACAACCCTTCATATCTAGCTCAAAGCCAGAAAAATGAAGCCACTAGTAGGCAGCCCCTAATAACAACCTGACCCATGTAGAGATCATCCTCCATATCTTTAGAATAGTCCATATGGGAAAAGGAAGCTGGAAAGACACAATATTTGAGGAACCAGATATTCTTAGGTCTTTATGGCTGTATCCCGAGATTTGTAGACCACTCCACGGCTCTTCAACTCCCGTACAATGCCTGCAATAACAACAAACCTATCTATTAATTTAATGGACTTGGATGAAGTACAGATGATCCTTGCTTACCACCCACTTGTTCAGTGACCATTCAAAGTTACAATGGTGCTAAACAAGAAGACCCATGATTGGTCTTTAAAGCTACGGCCATTGCAGTGCCTTGCTCAACAGTAAACAGGCACAAATTTCTAATGCAATTGTTGGATTTTTAGAAATGAGAAAAGATCTCCAAATCCTAGTCCTCCAGAAGAGGATTCTGTAGATCAGGGGACCCCAACCCCCAGGCCGCACAAATAGTAGGCCAGTGCACACGCTTGTGCAGCTGAACTTGTGTGAATGGCAGGCTGGCGTGCCCCACACGCATGTGTTGGCCCGCCGCTTGCGCAGTCCAGTTCCCCTCTCCACACCTGGGCCGCCAAGCCGTAAAAGCTGCTGTAGATTACCTTGGGGCAGACGGCCAGTCACTGACACAGCATACACGCCTGGCTTGAAATTACCTAAGAAAGCAGGAACAAATATGAATTATGACTGCTGAGGATTGCATGTGAAATAATATTTTTATTTGTTTGTATCCCTTCTTCTTATTCTTCTTCTTGTGCCATATCCGTTATCGGACGTTGGCGCTCATGTTGGCGATCCTGTTTTTATCAGCAGCCGCATAAAAAAGTGCTGCTGAGTTTTGTCCAAACCAATCCCTTAGATTTCAAGTTTGTATCCCTCCTTTATTATTTTTACAAATAATTCAAGGCAGCGAATATATCCAACACACCTTCCTCCTTCTATTTTCCCCACAACAACCCTGTCAGATGGGTTGGATTATGAGAGAGCGACTAGCCCAGTCACCCAGCTAAGTTCCATGGCTAAACAGGACTTGAACTCAGGGTCTTCCATTTAATAATATGGCTTAAGTAATATAACTTTCAGGAAGGGTATCCATGTCAGTTGTCAGAAAGTTTGTTTAAAATATAGTTATGTTGTTGTAAAATGCACTGTATAGTTTTGATACTTGTACAGCACAGTACTGATTGAAGATAATTAACACTCTAATGTTTATACAAATGTAGACAACTGAGGAAAAAATAATAATAATATACCAATACTGATTACAAACTGAAATATCAATAATAATCATAAAACTATTTGCCTATAACATCCATAATTAATTATAACATTTAAAAACTGCTTCAAAATGTTCAAAGTATTTGCTGACCAGTAAAACACTAAAATTTTTGGTCTTAAGCTGTTTACTTAGCATTAAGGTTATCACTCTATTGTTACTTAATGTTTTTTGTGCATGTTGATAAAGGAAAAAGGCAAAGCAAGCTTGAAAACAAATGAAACACCAGAACGTTTAAAAAAGAGACTATTCAATTTCTAACTTACCCCTTTTTATGCATCTGCTAATTTACCCTATTTGTAAACATTTGGTATTCTTAAAAATCAGACTACAAATGCTTATATTTGCCATGCTGCTTGATGTATGTGTGGAAACCATTTATGCTCAACTTCTGTTGTGTATATATACTGTTAATTTTTCCACTGCTGTATATTTTCCAAGTTTAAGTTCCCACTTAGCTATTATCAGGATTACCGGTATATTTTTCTTCAAGTATTCAGCAATATTTATTCTTGCTTTGTGAGCATGTCATTTAATTACATTCCTTGTACAAAGTTAAATGTTAAATAAAGCCATTAAAAAAGTTCAAAATTGAACAAGGGTGCTAAAACCCAGATTTAGTTTAAAAATGTTTTAGGATTGTTTCAAGTATAAACACAATTCCAAGAGACTGAAAATAATTAGGACCAATTAAAGCTAGTATCTGAATCCTCCTGAGTTCTGCAGAACAAATACAAACGCAAATAATGCATCTACCATCACTTTTTCAAATAATGTCATCACTATATTTGCCAATGAACATTTTTGTTTCAAATGTTCAATTAATGCTTTTAAATGCCATGCTTTGAGTTGACAGTGTCAAGTTCAAAGAAATCAATTTGACTAACACTAGGAGTGTCCTCCAAAAGTGTAACTATGAATCTCCCTGGGTTTTGAAATTTTTTCCTCACAGATGAAGCATATTCCACGGGCTGATGCTTCACTCCTGAGTCATAATGATGTTTTGTTAACCGTTATGTTATTGTGAAGAAATTCTTATAACACAAAATTGCTAGCAAATTTCAGCTCCTGAAGTTTTCATCTCTGCTATCAGCCTGGGAGGAACCCCTCTTGCAGAAAGTTTCCAATACTGAAAAGTATCAATAATATGACCTACATGTTCCTGTAGACAAAAATTTCCCTTTCAGTAATCCACTACTTGTCCTTAATTTATTCATCAATCTTTCTCAAACTTGAAAGCAGACCAAAATACAACTTAATTGTATAATTAAATATAAGGTGGATGAAAACTTACTGATCCGTTGCCACTTGGAGACCCAACTGTCCTCGGGACTCATCATTGCAATAATGCTGCAAGAAGACAAAATAAAGTCAGAAAACTGAAAAAAAGGCAAAAATCAGACAAAACTGAATTTCTGTATTTTGGGGACACCCTCTGTTTCTGGGATCCCTTGCGTTATTTGTCTCTAGTGATGACAAAACCTACTGCAGAATTAGCTTGAATATCTTCTTCATGAAGCTCTAACTAAAGTGGTGTTGAAATCAAGAAGAAATGAATCAGTAGAAGGAAGAGCCATTAAGTGCACAAAAACAGAAAGATATAACAAAAGAAACACCAAGTGAAAGGAAAAGAGAAAGAGAAGGAAGAGGAGGAGAAGGAGAAAAAAGGAAAAGGAGAACAAGAAGGAACTATATATAGAAGATGTGAATGACAGCTAAATAGAACCTGGGGCAGGCTTAGAAAAATTAAGAGATTTGCTTAGCCAAAACAGCAGCAATAAGATTTCAGCCTCTCTGGGAAATATTGTTAGTTCAAAATTTATAAAATAAAAATGGAGGATGGACAACAAAAGATGGAATTTGAGGCACTATAAGAACTAAAATGGAGGACTGGAAGGGTGAATGGAGGTGACAAAAGACTGGAAATAAGGATAAACAGTAAGCAGAAGATCCTGGATGCTGGATCAGGACTTCTGACCAATTGCCAGTCCCAGGCTACTGTTTGGTTAACTGAGGAGCTATTGGAAGGAAGTAACTAAAACATTCCCAAACAGACACAACTGAGTATTGGTAAGAGTTCCAACTAAGTTTACATTGAGATTATTGAAATGACATTTTTCTCTGTATCTATTGTGTCTGCAAATTCCTGTGCAGCAGATGAATTATAAATTATCTGGGAGTCCTTTACAGAAAAAAATGGGTGCAACTGAACACCTGCAGAGATGCAGGATGAATGAGCCAACCAAATTTCCAGGTTTCGTGGCAAACAACATCTCTTGTATCTGCTGTCCGCTGTAGTAAACAAAATAATGCCTTCTGGTGTAATCTGAGATTCTTTTGCTCTTATGGAGCCAAAAGTGATGGTTGGGTCTTCTGTAGTAGTCTGAACTCTGCCAACTGTCTGATCCATGTTCTCTTGGAGCCCTCAGATAGTTAGACAGTGCATGGCTCTATGAGACAATCAATGGCTGAGAGAGCTTGTAGTGATACTTGCTTTAAAAGAGGTCGGGGTATACTCTTTCTTTGAGAGGCCTTCCCTACCTCAACTATCTCTGACAACTTTCATCCAGTTTTCTACTTTCTCTTCCCAGTAAAGATTATAAGGAGATATTGGTGAAGCAGCTACAAAAGGTTCTGGACAAAACCAATTACTTGAAAACCCTCCTTTATGCCCGGATATCCAGACCACCCCCTTTTCTGTATTTTGGGAGAACTACAAAATATGGCTCTTCCAAAAGGTATATGTGGATGAGTAAAATGGTAGTTTGGTGTACAATGGTACCGCAGTATTCGACTGCTTCACAACTCATCGAATTTGGTACTCAACACTTTTTGGTACAAAAATGTTGTCCTGCCCCTAGTCGTTGTTCGTTTGGTACTGTGATAAGAAAAGGAAGACGGCCATGGCGAACAGACAGGAAGTTGGCCATGCTGGGAAGGTCATTACAAAAGGAAGAGGGAGCGGCCGTAGAGAGCAGAAAGGAAGTTGGCCATGCTGGAAATGTTGCTCACATAGGAAAAGAGACAGACAGGAAGTCCTTCCTGGCCAAAACAAAGGGTCATGTGATAAGTCATGTGGTTTGTTTGGCATTCATCATTTTTAGTACTTGTCACGCCTTCTGGAATCAATTAATGCTGAGTACCAAGTACCACTGCAGTTGTTAAGACATCAAGCTAGAAACAGGAGACCAAGACTGATGCCTTAAAAATTGAAGTGGTACTTCCGGGAGGATTTTAATGAAATTAATACATGCAGCATGCTGACTCTGTAAACTGCTTAGAGAGGGCTGTGAAGCACTGTGAAGCAGTATATAAGTTTAAGTGCTATTGCTATTTAAGTTAGTAATAACAAAAGTAATATAACATATCTAATTATACTATGGGAGTCCCAAATCAGTAAATATTAATAGACATAATAGGAACCATATTTTGGGTATATAACAGTATGAGCCAGAAGCAAGTACAATAGCAGAGAAGTTGCCCAAAACAAAAAACAGGAAGGGAAAGGAATAAGCGATAAGGAGCACAGACTACACTAGAATTAGAAACAAAGTTTCTTTGTTAAAATTGTTATCTTGTACAATTCCCAAAGAAAAAAAGAAAGTTATTCAAATTACTATGTATAATCAAGGTCAACTTGATAAATGAACTATTGTTTATTCCTAAAAGAGTAAATAGCATGTATCAGTTTTTGTCTTCTTCTCTAAGAGAACACACTGTAGCTACAGATCAATAAAATTTCAAACAATTTGTCATCTGTTTCTTATATTCAGGGGGGAAGGTTTTTGCTACAATATTCTCTTCCAGTTAACAGTTTTCCTAGATTTTTGGTAAAGATCACTTTCAACTTTTTAAACAGAGAATTTCTTTTCAAGAGATTCACAGCTTTACTAAAATGTATGAATCTTATCAAGGATTTGCTTTCTTATGGGTAATATCATGCTCCATAATAGTTGTATTAATTCAAAATCTATGTAAAAAAACACCCCTATTTAATTCTCATGAATCCAGTCATGTTTTTTCCTGTAGGCCAAGGGTGGATAACTTACAAACTGCAGACCCTACAACTCTTTTTTGAAGTTCTGAACCCTCTTTCCTTCACATAAGATCATGTTGCTGAAATTTGTTGACAAACTGCCAGTGGTATCATTTTCTGAATTCATTTTTCCAAGTAAGAAGGTGATAAGTCTTCATTCAGCAACTGACAATTGGGACCAGCAACTTAATTGTTAAATGAAGTAGTCACTAAATGAAACCACAACTTTGGCCATAGTCTTACTTCAGCTTTCTTTCGCTCTGCAGACCTGCAAAGGTCATAAGGAGGATGAGGATTGTTAGCAAAGTTACTTTTTCATCATCATTGTTAACTGTAAGGCAGTTGCTAAATGAGGACTCCTTGTTATAATAATAAAACATGAAACACTGAATGTGAAAGATTATCTGTCCCATTGCTGACTCTGCACAATTGCAAATTCATTCAGGGATAATAACTATAAGAAGGGTACTTCATTTTGCATCTGAGTTTGATTTCTAGAAATATAGTCAAAATGCAGCTTGGGGAAGAGCAATTCTGCATTTCCTATCTGCTGTATTTAAGTCACAACAAAGTTAAAATTATACAAATGAGATTCAAGGGATATTATGTTTGCAACATGTATAATCAGTGACAAGATGGATAACTTGCAGGAGCAATTTGTATTACTGGCACATAATCTAAGATCATTCCTATAGTAACTTTCCATTCCTGAAGAGTTCAACAATACCCTATTTAATTTTGCATTCTAAAGATTAGACATGGCCTTTACATTTTTTAAAGGGGGCTAATAGTTATAAAATGGATGGGTCAGATCGTGCAGTACTTATCTTTTACAATATTATAATACCAGGATAGAAGGTTAGTAAACAAACTTTTTTAAAAAAAATATCAGTGGCATATTTTCTAAAAAGGAAAAGCTCTGCTAAACATTATTATCTAACCAATTTATTAAACAATAATTATAACTAGCAATAGCAAAAAAAATGCTGGATACCAGGCCTATATCTCACCCTCAAGGCTTATTTGAAAACAACTGTGATAATTATGTGGGGAGCTGACACAAGCACTTACCCATCGAAAGAAGAACTAGTACAATCGTAAACCATCTCACGGTTCCCCTTCATCTGGAGATAGGAGTCACAGTTGTCACAACCATCAAACTCAAACTGATCAATAGTCTGGTGAAGAAAAAAAAAGTTATAACAGAAAAATCAGAAGTATTGCTACTAGAGGACAAGTACATTTAAATTAGGAGCATCCTCTAAGGTTCCAGTGTATCTTTTTTTACAGTCCTGACTTCAATAATGGGAAATACATTTGCTGCAATTAGTTGCAAAAATTGCTTTCCGCAAAAAAAAAAAAAAAAAAGAATTTGTCATATTTATATTAAAAGCACACCTGCCAACTTTTCCTTGCATTTAGCCCTTCAATATGCTTTTCCTTTGCAACTTCCTTCTCATTTTATAACTAAGTATGGATCAACAATACAATAAGTTGCGCCAGTGATTTTTTTCAGTACAGTTGTTATTCATTTCCTAACTTTCCTCTCAGATATTAGTACACAACTTTCTCCCATTTTCATTTTGAATAACCATGGTTGTTGGAAGAGACTAAAAATAATATGACTAGTCAATTAGCACAGCAAATAAGTAAAAATCTGAAGTCAAAGCTTGTGTTCATTGCAAAAATTTAAAGCTTTTTAAATTAAAAGGAAAAAAGATTTACTATTACAGGGGACATGTATTAAAATTGGCTTTTAAAATTAAACATGATACAAAGAAATCAAAGTTGTTTTCTTCTTCACATTTAATACTGGGATTTAAGCCATCCACTGAAGTTTGAGATGGACAAAAGGAAATACAGCTTATAAGGATAAAAACAGCCCATGGAGGTAGTGATGTGTGACAAGTTTTTATGAAACCTCAGAAGTGAATTATGTCTGAATAGTAGTATTCTGAGTATCTCTACCACTCTTTAACATGTGGTTTATTAATTTGATTTACATGTGTCATCCAAGTAGGTAGCAGCACTTAATCAACATTAGCTGAACTGGAAAAAGCTGAACTGGTTAACACTTGGCTGGGAGACCAGCAGGAAACCCCAGTGCTATAGACTAGTTTAAAAATTAAAAAAAATAAGAAAGCGAAGGCAAAACACTTCTACATTATCACTAAGGAAAGGTCAACCTATGGGAGTTTTTACCTTTATCTATTCAGATCTATGTTCAAATCAGTTGAAGAAGGGAAAATTATACTTTCTACATAAATAGTTGCTATTGAACATTTATTAGAGGAAGGCTTTATGAAGATTTCCAAACACAAATCTGACTTTGTTACTCTGGAATTCATGGTGCTTTCTTATCATTTCAGATTACAATCCAATTTGTTACATATTATCCGAAATGGTGAATATCAGTAAAAACACAACTACCCATATTTGCAAACAATGTAGTAGAGGAACAAGAGCAAAGCACTTAAAAAGCTAAACACATTCAACAGTATTCACAGCAAGCAAACTAAAATTCTAAGCAAATAATTTTAGAAAGTATTTACTGAATGGGAGAAAGGGGAAGGGTACTGCTGTATGTCAAACTATCTGAGAGACAAGCTCTGAAGTGGGGGAAGGCTGCCAGATATGGAGCTACGTCGGACGCATTATACGATGACGAAAAGGCTCTAAATACTGGGAAGGGTGGAAGGCAAGAGAAGAGGAAGACCACAGCAAGGTGGATGGACTCAGTTACAGTGGTGATGGATGCACCGTTTAAGTAGAATAGAATATCTTTATTGTCATTGTGTAACTCACAACGAAATTAAGTACTCACAACGAAATTGAGTAAAGACCAGATTAGGGACAGATCGTCATGGAGAAAATGTACCACGGGGTGGCCAGAAGTCAAAAACCACTTAATGGCACATAATCAACTGCTGGAACGGAGAGAAAAGGAACAAGAAACCCCTGGTCTATTGGGTGGGATGACTTTCACCGACAATGTCACTTAAGGGATAGCCTCCTTCTCACAATCGGATATTTCAAGAGACAACACCATAGAGACAAACAAGGTGCCGGGCTAGGAAAGCCATCGTCGGCAAAAACAACAACAACAACAACGTGGTCTCCCAGGACTTACACGTCCCCGACCCAACCTAGAAATATATTGGGCGCAGTACTATTCCGACTAGAATTTTTTAAAAAAGGAATTTCCGCTTCGCTAAATGGAAGGCACACCTTGACCAATGAGCACAGCAAGCAAGCCCTCAAGTGCCGCAGATCTTTAGGTACCGTTTCCAACGCCATGACCACCACCAACCGGCAGCATACACCTAAGGGAAGAAAGCAGACAGCCAAACATACGTCACTTCCCTCACCAAAAGGCTTCCACTAGAGTACTCTGTGCCGCTCTGGGAGTTCTCTCGTTTTACTCCTGAGAGACGCATGCGCACAATTCTGTGTGCGTGTGTGAGATGAACTGGTGTCATTCAGCAATGGCGCGTTGCGTTATTCGATGCTGTTTTGTGCGCAAGCGCCCGAATAAGCTCCGCCTCTATAAACTGAGCGATGGTTTTACCGATTGTAGTCACGCGACGTTTCGATAGGGGAAAAAGAGCTTGCCGCCAAAATCGAACTTCCACTTTGGTATAGTAGTGTGATTCTTTTTGCCTCTGACAAGTGTACACTATAAATTGTTTTGGAAAGAGTCATTTAAATATTTTTAATTCTATTTCGTGTGTCACTTAAATTGTTCGAAATTAACTTTGGCATATTTGATGGCAATTGGTGCTATCAAGGTACGTGTCTATCCCAGGGGTAGGCAACCTTGGCTCTTTTAGACTCGTGGACTTCAACTCCCAGAATTCCTGAGTCGTGCTGAGCTGGCTCAGGAATTCTAGGAGTTGAAGTCCACGAGTCATAAAAGAGCCAAGGTTGCCTACCCCTGGACTCTATCCTGTTAAAAAAAAATCACAAGAAGCCCTGCTGATGAGAATCCTTCCTCCCAAAATGAGAATGATAGGAATGAGAGACTTTGAGAGTCTTCTAATCTAGTTCAACCCCCATCCCAAGGCATACCATCTTGGACCATGGTTGTTCAAGTCTTTTCTTTAAAACATAACGCCCCATAACTCCTGGAGGCCAGCTGTTCCACTGCTATCAGAACTGTCTTATTTTCAGACTGGATCTTCCTCTGACAAGCTCCTACCCATTGCTTCTTGTCCTACCTTTAGGTGGTACGGAGAATAAATCAATGTCCTCTTCCCTGTGGCAGTCCTTCAAGTATTGGATGTGGAGCAGTTGGCATGTCTTCTCTTGTACCATGGGTACGGAAGCCGTTTTCACATTAGAAATTGTGTCCTTCATTCCTTCCAACATACACCACTAATGTTTGCTGCATTTGCACGTCATTTTCCCATCATTTTTTCCCATCCTTAATATTATTAACACTTGAGTATTTTTTTCATTTTGATATGTGATTTGCAATTGTTCATTGCATTCCTTTCAATCGCTCAGGGTAACATCTCTGGGATTTATAAAATGGCACAGGTTGACTACGTATATTACTTATTCAGGGTGATCTGTTATTTCTATATGTGCATGTTGAATTTATCTATATCTCACAGGCAGTTTCATTGGAATGCAAATATTGAAATATCCATGATCCAATAAAATTCAAAAATAATAAAACAAAGTAGATAATTTTAAAAAGCATATCAAACCTCAAATGCTCTCTGGAAAAATCTGTCTTCCAGAAGGCAAGTAAGGTCAGGCTAAAATAACTGCAAGTCATTCCAGAGAATTGGGACTGATATAGAAAAGAGACATCCCTGTGCTTCAGTATCCCTACCTCCCAAAAGTGGCAAACCACCAGTTGTTTTTCATGGTAAGATCAAATGGGCTTGGCCAATTCTAGTGGATGATTACAATTTTGAAGAAAAGTTGGTGCCAAGCCATTTTTCGAGTATAGAACAGTGATGGCGAACCTTTTAGAAACTGAGTGCCCAAAAACTGGCCCCGCCACCACCCTGCCTGCCTGTAGGGCCACTCACTGCCTCTAGGGCTTGCCGCAGATCGCCCGGGCAACCCAGCAGCGCCATGGCGCCCACACCCTCTGCCCGCGCCCTGCAGCATCAACTATGCACGATGGGGCGTGAGGCCAGATTCTTGTCTACGCTGGCTGGCTGCCATGTTCTTGGCTGTGCTGCTCCGCATAGGCCACGCTCGGGGGCGACTCTCCTCCAGGGGGGCTGCTGGTGAGGAGGAGTCACGGGGGGAGGCAAGGCTGGGGCAATGGCACGTGTGCCCACAGAAAGGGCTCCGAGTGCCGCCTCTGGCACGCATGCCATAGGTTCGCCACCAGTGGCATAGAATAACCCAAAGCACATATTCCAGTATTCCCTGAGGATGGGCTCCAGCACGAGTCCAAAAGCTCTGGTCCTGGTGACTGCCCCAGATTTGTCTTGCATAAGAGTTTTGATTAACACCAGCACTCCAAAGCCTCCATGAAGCTCATCCAGGGCTCATAGCACAACAGTAATGGGCTCCCATTGATGAACATACACAGGCTAATGCAATTTGGACCAATGTGGCTTTCAAAGCAGTCCCTTTGTAGAGTACATTCCAGTAGTATAGTTGATAATGGGGGCATGAATAACTGTAGCAAGACCCTCTCGCCATACATAGGTCCACAACTAATGCATCATGTGCAATACTGTAAAGACTCCCTGGCTACACCTCCCATCTGCTGTTGAAGAAGGAGCAGCAACTCCAAGTCTTGAAGTCAGCCTTTAGGGGTAGTGCTTCCTGACCACGAGGCAACGTTGGAGCCATACAGATATCCGAATGGACAAATAGGATTCTGTCCCATCCAGACCTTCAGCCTCTAGTCACCAAGACAAGACCTCAGTAGCCTTGCCAGTTTGGCCCAGGATAGAGATGTAAAGCTGAATGTTATGAACAGACTGATGCTGCTGCATCCTGAACTGATGTTTCAAAGGTGCTTTTTCAAAAGGCAACTGGACTTTGTTTTTCCTTCAAGATATTTCGCTTCTCATCCAAGATGATCATCCAATGAAGCTTCTTAAATGAGAAGCAAAATGTCTTCAAGGAAAAACAAAGAAAGTCCAGCTGCCTTTTGAAAAAGCACCTTTGAGATAACCATGACCTAGATGACTGAGAATCTCCATAGAGATCCTGAACTGATGGATAACCTCACACACTTGTTTCACAAAGGGAAAGAACCAACCAATGCAGCACAGCCACTAAGCCAACCACTCTTCTGCCACCACCACCTGGAACCCTGAGGAAGAAGCCATTGCAAAATAGTGTTCCCAATCACAAACTCTTGAGAATCAATCCAGGGTATAATAATCAATGCTAGTGGTGGCGCAGTGGTTAGAATGCAGTATTGCAGGCTAATTCAGCTGACTGCCAGAGGTTCAATCCTCACCAGCTCAAGATTGACTTAGCTTTCCATCCTTCCAAGGTTGGTAAAATGAGGACCCAGATTGTTGGGGCAATATGCTGACTCTGTAAACCGCTTAGAGAGGGCTGTAAAGCACTGTGAAGTGATATATAAGTCTAAGTGCTATTGCTATTATCTGCCACATATTTCATGTTTCCTCCACTGGAGGTACTACAGAAAGCAAGAAATCTTTCTTAAGATCTAATTGCTAGATTCCAACCCTAAGCAAAAATCTGGATTACCACAGCTTTAATATTCAATGGCTCTATAAATTTACCCATTAAATCCTGCCAGTCTCCAACCTTTCAAAATAAGAGTTGATCACAAGTGCATAATCACTGCAAAGAAGAAACAAAATGAGAACCTGGTTCAGATAGAAGATCAGGGTTATCAACTGATTTTGACCATATCCTGCAATGTATGGGAATTTTTTTCCATATATACCCCAATGATATGAATGGGGCAGCCTCATGGATTATACTGTTTTGCTGCAGTCTCCTATTGTCACAAAGTTGCTTTTCAAGAGGCCGGAATAAGCTAAGATTGTCTCTCTACAATCTAGGAAGTACTAAAGGAAACCCATTCAAACCATACCCAGATTTCCTTCCAGTGTTATTTCTCATGTACATTACAAGTCAACATATAAATATTTAAAAAAAAATATTTCTGACAAATAAACAGGAAGAGGCATCTCTTGAACTTAGGCACCCATGATTTTATACAGAAAAAAAAATAACAGCCACATGAACAGCTTTACACGTGGATAAATATATTAGCAAAATAAATAGGTTTGAGCATGTCCCCATATTCAAACAATTTCTCTCTTAGACATAAATATTTGGTTTTGCATATGTATATACATAAACATAATTTTTTTCCCTTTTGGTTTATAAAAGTACCCAAGTGCCTGAAAAGTAGATTCAAAAAAATAATTAAAAAGTATAAAAATAAAATCCTTATTCACATTTCAAAGGGTCTGAGGTTGCCAGGAGGAAGGAGCAGAACAACTGCAGCTGAAGAAGTTTGAAGGAAAAGGTGCTGAAAGGAAAAGAACCATTCAACGTGTTCTCACTGACTCACTGTTTCCCTGTAGAGTGAGTTTTTTTCATCCTTTCTATGGCTTGTGCTTTGACTCCAACTGAAACAGAACTACAGCCAAACTGGTGCCTAGTCTTCAGATGTTTTCTGACAGGTTTCAGAACATCTAAATGAGCGCTATTTTTGTTCCTGAAACATTTTCCAGTGCTTAAATCTAAAAATACAGCAAGGTTAATTCCAGTTTTTTTTTTACTGTCTCTTATAGTTGCCACTAAATTGCTCCATTTGAGGTACTCCCAGCATGCAAGAAATTGTGTATTGACCTGAAAAGACTAGTACTTTCCCCCAAATGTGTAACTTTGAAGTGTGAGAGAGGGGTTGGGGCCATGTCTTAAAGTCAGTGAGAATGAGATAATGGGACAGGGCTTTTTTCTGTGTAATTTTCCTGGATTTGTTTTTTTTTGGGGGGGGGGGAGGGCTGAGGAAGAAGAATCATTGTGAATGTAGGGTGCTCTTCCTGTTGTGCAGTATAGTAGAAAACAACCCACTGAACCTCATCAATAAAGCAGTGGTAGCTCCATAGAACACACAACCTGTGACTTGGGGCACCCCTTTATGAAAAGAACTGGTTACTCTGTTCCTGTTCTGTACCCAAGGGGGACGTAAATTTCTTCCAAAACAATGTAAGTCTTTATCCTGTGATACAACGCTGTGGTGCTTTTTAATACATTTTAGGACTGAGCCTCCTATTTTGCATAAACTTGATTAAATATGTTGTTTTCCTGCATTTACACCTACATGCCATGAATCTTCTTTATCCATGAATATGTCTCTAAGTTCACATCCAATTTTTGGATGACTGCTCATCAAAGGATGTACAAATCATCCATCAGCAATTTCTGTGGATTTTCAGGTTTGTTTTTTTAACCTGCATTAAGAAAAGCTTAAAATCAGACAGATCACTGATCTCTGTCTTATCAATATCACCTGTAATACTTCCTCAATTTAGTATTCTCCAGATGGTGTAGGATTATAGTCACCAGAATTCTCAGGCACACTACCATACCAGTACTATTAAGCCTAGGTAGCTCAGCAATTCTGATTTAAATCTTGGAAAGCACTACAGATCAGGGACTTTACCCAACTCATCCTGGAAGCACTATGGTTTGAATTTGCTACTTTTTGCATGCCAAACCTGCTCTTCCTCTTTCTACTGCCGGTTCATTAATATCACAGCTGCATATACCCTGATCGACACTTTTCTTACATTATTTTATCAAATATGAAATGAATAAAAATAATAAATTCCAAATATATATATATATTGAATTTCCATTAACCTTATAAAGTTTTAAAGATATATCTCTGACTCTGGCCAATTTGGTCCTCATTCATTATAGTTGCAATACATTATGAAGAAAGTGACAGTAATAAGCACACACCTCTTGATTTCCTTGCTCATCTCTCAAAAAGCCTGTAATCTCTGTTTAACCTTTGGCAGGTTCTTTAGAAAGGAATTATTTTAATCATAAATCATTTTCATTTTATGTCCCATTCAAAAAATTTTAGCCAAAGAGTGAATGTCTTTGCAATGCTTCAGGAATTAATGTTCTTATATATTCAGTGAGATTCTGAGTATATCTAAAATAAAGATTTATATCACTCTTTATGACAATTCAATTGATAGTTTCTCTCCAGAGAATCCAGGACTATTAGTTTGGTAAGCATGCTGATTATTCCCAGGCAGATTTAAGTCAGTGCATGGATCTACCTAAAATGCCAGAGTGTTTTAAATAAGAAAAATATCCATAGCTACATCTCTAATTTGCCATATTCACAACAGTACCATATTAATATCCCACTGCTTGATGTTTGACAATAGATTACATTTACCAATTAGCAACTTATCACAGCATTCTTATTCAGTTATGTCTCAGGATGTTTTATGCATACCAGTTACGAAACAGCTTGCCTTGTATTCACTCAGAGCAATGGGAAAAAAAGATACCTGAAAATATTAACTCTAATTCCACAAACGTCAGCTCTTTGTCTTTCACATGTAAAGTGCAGCATGACTGTCTTTAGACTGGAATTGTTACCTATTCACAATTGGATACCAAGGAGGAGGAGGGAGGGAGGAAGAAGAGGAAATAATATTGTGGGCTATGTTGTGTAGAGTAGCAGAGTGCTGGATGTGAGGATGAAAGAGCAGGGTTTAAATCTTAGATCAGGGCTACTCTGAGAAAAACTGAAATCTTGGGCCTATCATGGCAAAGACACTAGGAAATATCTGGGCATACCTTTTGGGGCTTTGGGGGAGGGGTGTAGTTTATTTTTTGACAATTTTAAGGAGCTAGGTAGAGATTCTTGGGTCCAAATCCAGCCTCTGAAAACACTTTCCCCTCCATATCAGTACCAATCTAGGGTTGAGGAGAACTGGGTTTTCGTAGTTAATAGAGGTGGTTAGCTTATGACATCCTGAAATATTCCTATCTACCATGTTTCAACTCAGTTTTCTAAATGGTCTGAAATAAAATAACCGTTAACTAGTGCTATGGGGTCTTTTTGCTGCTCGAGGATCAGGCATTTCAGTTAGTACAGACAATAGCTGTAATTCACAGGAAGCAGATTTGGAATTCTTCCATGCTAATATCTGATGTAGCAGACAGTATTCAAAAGGGAAGGAGATATGACCTTCTAGACTTCTTGGCAAATTGAGCTGTAACAACATTCCTATGAGGCAGAACCAGAGTGACCTCCAATACCCTCTTTGCTGAGAGTTTGGATCTTGCAAACTACATCTTGAACCAAGACTCACAGACACATCAGAAGAAGAAAAAAACAGCAGAAATAGAATGGAATAATTTCTCTGTCTAATTTCAACCTGCATATCATATATGCTCTTGGAATGGGGTGAAAGTGTAGGGTTGTTCCTGCCGTTCTATTTTGCAGTTAAAAAGCAAATGTAAATGAACTTTATGGTGGTTCTTTCCCCCCCCCCTAGAAATTTTAAATGATTACACTCCACTCTCCTTAAGGAACAACAATATGAACAGTAAGGATCCTCCATTGCAACAAATGAGAAAGTCTTCAAGATGGCAGCTTCCAAAAACAATGCAAGTGACATTGGCAGCTTATAGTTCTGACAGGCGGGCGACCACTTGTGGGTTGAATTGTCTGGACAGAAAATTTAGTAAGATTTATGTACTGCATTGCCAACAAAAGAGACATGAAGAGTTTGTAAGAAAGCCCATTCTCACTGAGTTTCTGGTCTCTTCTCTTAGGCTGTCTGACAGAGTGAAGTTCACCTCACATCAAACTGAATGTTCATACACATTGGGGATATCTTCTGTAGATCCTGTAATTAAAAAAAACCAAGCAACTAGATTGAGAAAATGGATCTCTTTTTATGTTGATCAACTGCAACCTAAATTGATACTGAGACTTACTGTAAATAAGTCCTACAAGTGAGATTACATCTTCCTTAGATTTGTTCTTACAAAGAAGTTGCAAAACAGATAAAATGGACACTGAAGACATGGCATTAGAGTAATGTCAAGACTGTTCTCATTTCGTAGATAGAAAATTAAATGAAGAGAATGCATTTATGGCATATTTCAATCCATTTTCAGGCACAATTCAAAGTCATAAATTTTTTGAAACCTGGGAATGTTAAGGTTATTCCTTTTCTTTCCAATTGTACAGTAAAGCTGTCAACATTATCAGAGGTAAGTTGGATTCTGAATAGCCATAAAGTTTGTTTGTCACAGTTTCCAAGGTTTAGGGCCATTCCTAGTGATCCAGTTTCAAATCTATCCACCCATTTTTGAGACAGCAGTAAATTATACCCAGTATTTAAACTGATTTAACAAACTCCTTGTTTCTGAATATCTCTAATTACCACGAAACCTTCCATCAATTACAGCACTTTTGTCATTGGTTTTGACAGACAGCTAGACCTACCAAATGTTGATATTTAAATTTATATTGCATACTTGATATTTGTTTTCTTCTTTGTTATATATTTATAATAAACAGGTAGTCCTCCACTTATGATCACAATTGGTGCTCAGAATCTCTGTCATTAGTGAGGCAGTCATTAAGCAAGATGCCATGTGACCGTTTCGTTTAGGGACTGCAATCCCAGCTCTCCTACTTGCAGTATTTAAGCGTCTGTGGGAGTTGTTAAACAGAGCCTGATCAGGTGGGGCAATCTTTCAGCACACTGAAGGGATGGCCTCAAATCTGACAAAAAATATAAAATCCTAGCCAATATTATTGCTCTGGAAGACTCAGAATGCTGGCGTTCACGAACATGTTTCCCTCCAGAAGGGCATACGATAGGGTTCACTAAAGTGCTAGCAAACAATATTCAGAAAGGTTCAGAAATGCTAGTGTTTGCTAGCATTTTTCCCTCTGTAGGGGTGAAGACAATGGTGTTCGCTAAAATGCTATCAAATGGCAGCATTCTGAGCTTTTCAGAATACTGGCGTTCATTAGCGTTTTCACCAATTTGAAGTCCATTTCTCCAGTGCACAGAGAGGAGGGGAATTCCCTTGGCATGCTGGGAGAACGGACCTCAAATCCGACATCCCCTTCACTTGCAATCTTTCCTTCCAGCTTCCCCACTGATGTTCTGAGGAAACTGGCAGAGAAGATTGCAAATAGCAATCACATGATTCCAGGGCACTTGGCATCCTGTCATGAATGCAAACAGGTTGCCAAATGCCCCAAATGCAGTCATGTGACTGGGAGGAGGGACAACGCAATGTTTTACAATGGTTGAAAGTTCTGAGGGCGTTGTGATTGTGAATGGCAATTAGACCAGCTGTAAGTCAAGCACCACCTCTGCTGCAAGCTACTTTATACAAAAATGTATACAAGATAAGTTTTATACAAACAGTAAGTTCACAGCAGAGGCAAAATTTCAGATGGAATAGCATAATTGAGTTGGAAGCTACTTTGTAAATCATTTAGTCCAATGCCCACACAATGTAAATGACTCTCCTATATCCATATCCACCGGAGTTATGCTTCCCTTATCAAAAAATGCTTTAATAAAAAGCTTTCCATTTTGCATACTTGGAGAGCAGGTTTAAGTGCTGATTCCTAGAGAGAAGGTGCAGGATGAGTAAAAAACGTCATGCTTGAGTTCCCACGAACTGAAGGCGTTGGCATCTTTGATCAAAAGTTCCCATCCCATTCATATTATATTGAATACAACCCTCTCAAGCCAGGATTGTATTTAAGCTCACTAACAAACTAAATTCTATTCCCAGAATTCTATGGGGGGAGTTCTTGACATACATTTTAAAGACAATTGTTACAAGGTTTTCAAAATACATATTGCAGATGGAAAATAGAGGTGAAATGATCCTGGAAAGTAAAGATATATGAGACTCTAAAGGTTCAAACTTACCCTGAAGGTTTTGCAGAACTCGATTATTGAGGTAAGAGCTTGTGTTGCTTCCTGTTGCATCCTTGTCTGAACATTCTTCTGGAAATGTGTGTTCACAATCCAATTGTTTCAGCGTGTCCCTCTTTTCCTGGGGCTCCATGGTAAAACATGGAGTTAGGCATTTTGATACCTCCGGCAATGCTGCAAAATTATGCGCAGGGGGACCGCCTACTAAAAGAGGTTGAATTTCTGGGGAACCTTGGTTTCTAGATAAACCACCAGGATGGCTAGCAATTCTGCATTCCAGAGTTCTGCTGGAGTCCTCGGGGGAAGTCTCAAGAGGACACTTCCATCTCCTTCTACCTGGATGGATTTGCACATGGTGTTTCTGAGTACCCCACAGTCCAATAGTTCCAGCTTGATTACTGGCTGTCATGCTAATATCAGACCCATCTGCCAAATACAGCTCAGTATGTCCTTGCCTAGAAAGGTCTAGCATTTGCATTTTCTCTGTCCTTTTTTGTACTGAGATGTTTTGTGATCCCACCTTTGTCCTGGAATATTTCATCTTGCGTGGATTAGACTCATGGTTTGGCCTGCCATTTGGACAGTTGGAAGGTTTCTGCCCATAATGGTGATGCCTGTGGTGATGGTGATGATAGTGGACATGATTACTGGCTAGTTGTGCTCTACTTGTTACCATTGTGTCTACTGACTGAAGCTGTGAATCCCTCCCAGAAGAAGAAGAATCTTGTTTGTTATCTGTGCTCAACTTCTCTGAGCCACAGAAGGTGAACGGATCATAATCACTGCTCAGGGAGCTATGAAAAGTAGAGCAACTGCCATGGATAGCCTGAAGACTGATGTCAGTACAATTCAACATGGAGTCACTGGAACTGCCATGGCAAGGACCTGAACTGGAATCACTACCAGGGCCATCAGGAAGGTATCCACTGGGTTCTGTAAGATAACTTTCCCCAGAACCACTACTGTGATGGTGGTGATGCCTCCCATGGCGAATTCCTCGATGTAAAGGAGCAGCATGATTTATCTGAGCTGCAAGGGGAGCCCTGAGACCTTGGCAAGATGGCTGGTGTTGAAGCAGACACAGCCTATGAGAGGCCAGGGCTGGCTCACACGCTGGTGACTCCAGCTGATGCTGTGAAAGTAACAGGCTTCTGCTGAGAGGAGCTTGGTGGCCACACCAAGGCTCAAAGCCAATTGGCCTATAAGGCAAGTAATGCATAGTTCCAAAATCCAACTGGGAGAGTTCAGGAGAGTGGAAGAAAGGGTGGCCACGAGAGCCCACTGAAGAGCAGTTCCTGGGGGGCATTTGGGGGACAGTTCGTGAGAAGTGGTACAAGGCACGCCCTGGTCGTTGCCGGAATAAATGAGGCCTCTGTCTAGATCCAGAATTGTGTCGGTCCTCACGAGAATGCCTAGATAAAGTAGGGGGAATCCGATCTGGAAAAGAAAATTAACTTTGAGCAGAGATGTAAGCCCTTGTGAATCCTAATCATGCAGTATGTTAATTTAAAAAAATTATTCTCTAGGACTAGCAGCCATCTTTTTATCTAAATGAGTTTCTAATGTCTCAACACGTGGAAGTAGAATGCAGGGTCTCACTGTGTTTTGGTAACGACCAACATCTTCAACTTGGGCAGCCAGATTCTCTTCAGCCAATCTGCTTTTTGATGAACTATTGCAGCAGTTTAACTGCAACATGTCTGGAGCCTCTAGTATGAACTCAACACTATAGTAATACAAACAAATGAAAGTTTATACTGAGCCAGACCATTAGGTCATCAATCTTAATATGGTTCTGTGCTGATATGTGATGCCTCTCACAATTTCAGCCAGGGGTCTCTCCCAGCCCTACCAGGAAATACCACAACACTATTAATCTGCAGCACTGCCTGAATAAATACCTGATAAAGCAGTAGCAGACAAATCAGCAAAGAACAAAACTGCTCTATCAAATTGGGAGCAGTTAATTTTACTAGTTTCTCAGCCTCCTTTATGGAAGCCGGATGGCTGTTTGCTTTTTTTTTTTTATATATATATAGTTTTAGAAAAGATAAAGAAAAATCTAGGGTAGTCCAGTCTAGGTTTATCCTGATCCTTTTCTGTCTTATCTATTCGTTCTTGAGGGATTCAGAACCAAAACTAATAACCAAGATGGTGTAACAAGAGAAACGCTATTTTTGCAGAATCATGCTACTATGCTGATCTTGTATCTAGCAATTGGAACAGAGGCTTAATCTTATGTTAATCTGACTTCCATTTGGTATGGAGATTTACAGTCTCAATCTTCCACCATCTTTTGGCTGCTTTAATGCTTAATTGGCAAGTGGAAATCTCTTTTGGCCTTTCTTCAGTTGATTATGAGTTTGAAATCAAGGCAAAGAAAGCAAGAATGGTCAACTGTCTAGGGCCTAAGTACAGCTAAAAGCCAGAATTATTTCTGACCCACAAGAGAGAGCTGGTAAGAAACTAACAGGAAGCTACATGGAGTTGCTTATCTATTTAATAGCCCATTCTCATGATTTACCACTTTCAGAAAGACTGAATTTGTACAGTAAAAATTGCAGAGTGAGGTGAAACAAGATTTTGAGATAAGACAGAGAATTCTTTGTATTAGAAAATTAAAATTAAAAGCCTAAATGTTGATTAATATGTAAAAAAGAAGTAGGCAGTTTGAGAAATCTGATAAATACACCACAGCCATTGAAACAGAATTGAAGTAAATATTCTATATAACATGACCAATTTACAGGGTCTGCTTCATAGAAATAATTTACTTTTTTTAAATATAATACTCAAGAAGATCAGTCTATAGTAGTTTTATAGAGAAATGTACACACAGAGATTAAAACTTCTATAACTGAGCGGGGTTCACATAGCTTATAGAGGAGCTATGTGAAAATACATCGGCTTCAAATAATCTGAATACTGCTGGGAAATATCATCTTCGTCTGCCATACAAGAAGACTGTTTCTGGACAGTCAAAGTGGATAAGAACAATGTGGGTATTGCAAAATGTGGGTGTTTCATTTTGCTGATGACTGGATTACAAAACTCAGGAATTTAAACTAATTCACCTATTGAGTATTACATTAGTCCAGAATCCAGGGCAACTTTGGGAGGAGGTGGGCAGCTTACAGTCTATGATATGAAGTCACATCCTGTCTTTACCTTGGCAAACAGGATTTTTGGAATGGTATACAAAGGTAGTAATATTTTTGGAACTGCCTTCACAAACTCTTCAGGAACACAGACTATTTAATACAGCTTGTTTGGCAGCAGAAAAAAAAAGATGTCTCATGAAATTTACTAAGGATGCTCTTTCAGTCTTTTAGTTAAGACATTAACTAAGTATAGAATGCTTTTTTAAAAAAGTTTTCTTTTGCTTTTCTGAATGCCAAGCAGAAAGGGATCATTCTAGGGGACAATACATTTGATAATCTGAGGGCAGCCATAGAGAGGACCTGCTTTTATTTTCTCTTTTTCATATTTTAATTTTTTTCTTTTTTTTCTTTCAAATGTGTATATTATTCAAAAATTCTAATAAAATTTAAAAAAAGATCTGTTTTTTAGTGTATGGCTTTCTCTGATCTTGCAGAGACTGCATCTTAAACAGAACTTTCTCCAAAAGTCCTAATAGTATACATATTTTGCATAATATAATCCCTAAAATAACCTCCTGCCAAGCCACGTAGGGTTTCTAAGTCATGTCCAACACTTTGAATTGGATCCAAACCTGACTGGCTATCAATAGAGCAATCACATTTGGTATTTCTCCCAACAGAAGCCTGAGCACTATATTCTGTGCCAACTGTTGCCTCCAAATTGCCTGCAATGGCAATTTAGTTACTGTTACACTTTTTAGTCCAAGAAATTAAATGAGATTCATTCAACAAAATGTAGGTGAGTTAATGAGTAGAGATCTTTTGTTAAATAATTCAGAATCTTTATGCTCTTAGATAGAATACCTCTGAATTCTAATGTCTGAGAACAACTGTGGAAGAAGAGTATTGTGCCCATCATGTTTGTGGAATTCTCAGAGGCATTTGATTGCCAATTGTATATACCTTTCCTCATTTTTTCTTTTCCCTTTTTTGTCTTTTCCCTTTTGTTTTTTCTTTTTCCCTTTTTCTTCTTGTTGTCTGGGGAGCCTATTGGATTATAAACTTTTAGTCGCAGAACTATTTAAGGACAGTGGAAGCTTAACTGTTGGTGATTTTCTTTGGAGAAGGCTCTATGGACTATTAATTTTGAATAGTAGGACCTCGCGGATTATAAATTTTCACTGAGCGATAATCTTGGATTTTGGACAACTGCTCTGGAAGTGAGCCTCACAAACAGAATTGGATTACAAAATTTCTTTTTTTTCTCTTCTTCTTTTCTCTCTTCTTTTTCAGGGAGTTTATTGGACTATAGAGACTATAGATAAGAACTACAAGAGTTATTAAAGACAAATTTAAATGATATATTGTGGTATTGAACATAAGATTAATGGTTTGATATAAGATGGACATCTGGGAAAAGTATTAAGAGTTAATAAAATTTTTTGGGGGGGGAATTAAAAATGAGTGTTCTGAATTTAGCTAAAACTGGCAAGAAAACACCCTCCATCTCTGCAAGCCCTGTGTATCAGAGATAAATTGAATCAATGTTTCAACAAGAAAAATCTAACAATTCCCAGATGCAAGCAATCCAAGAGGCAATCTCATCTCACAAAGAAGATACAAGGAAAAACCATGAGGAGACAAAAAAACAACTTTGAGAGAATGAATCAAGAAATTCATAACATAAACTCTCAACTAGAAAGCTTCCAATGGATGGTTACAAAGAATGAATAAAGGATTCAGAAAATAGAAGACAAGTCAGTAGAGATTGATCAGAAGATGGAAGATATAAAAAATGAAAATCAGAGGCTGATGCAGGCAAATAGAGAATTGGAAGACTCAATGGCAGTTTTGGAAATGGAAAAGGCATCTTATTTTTTAAGATTTCAAAACGTAATGGAGGACAAAGAAGAGGATCTCGTGGATTTGATGACAGAGCTATTGGCTGAAGCACTGGAAATAGGGAAACCGGAAATGGAAGGAGAGATAGACCAGATATTTTGAGTGAATTCAAGCTATGCGAGGAGAAATAAAGTCCCTAGAGAAGTGCATGTTAGATTTGTCAAAAGATCTATAAGAGATGAGATATTGAGAAGAGCGAGAGATGATCCTCTGAATTATAAAGAAAAGGAAATTGTAGTGCTGAAGCAGATCCCCAGGAGGATAAGAGATTCAAGAAGAGAATACCAATTCCTGACCAGAAAATTAACTGAAAAAGAAGTGAACTTCAGATGGCTGATTCTGGAAGGGATTTTAATTAATTAGGACATGAAAAGATACAGATTGGACACGCACTCAAGGTAATGGAATTTTATGACAGATACAAAGCTTTTTTGGAAGGAATTTCATGCAGCGAGAGAAGCAAAAAAAACAGGAAGAGATAGCAATAGAAGGAGCAGCCAAACCAAGGGAAGAAGAAGAAACAGAAAACACAATCATAGAAGAAGGGGCAAAAGGAAGAAAACAAAGACAGATAAAAACCACTAGGAGAATAAAACCTAAATATAATTGAAGAAGATGGAGAAGGAAAATGGAATTCTTTTGATGAATATAAATGGATTGAACTCCCCCACAAAAAGAAAAAAATGTTTTACACTACAAAAATTAAAAATGGATATAGTCTGTCTCCAAGAAACACATATTAAAAGACAACATTACAAACTGTTAGAACAACCAAAAATCAGGAAACTTCACTTCACACTAGCATAACAAAAGAAGAGACAATGAAACCCCAAAAAATCTATGCAAATGAAGAGGGAAGAATATTAATGGTGGAAATAATGATAAATCAAAAACAGATATTAATGGTAGCAATATATGCTCCTAATAACAAACAAGAATAATTTTATCAAAAATTACACAAAAAATAGTGGAATTGGAATATCAAAAAATTTGTTTAATGGGAGACTTTAATGCAATAATAGATGGAATGCTGGACTACAGAAGTAGCAAAACGGGAAAAAGGAAGGAATACACTACCTAAGTTTTCTTTAAAATGGCAGAAGAAATCTGTATACAGGATATATGGAGAGAAAAGAACCCCCAAAAAATCACAATATACATTTTACTCAAACAGGCACAAATCACGGTCCAGAATTGATATGATATGGATATCCCCTGAATTAAGCATGATTTTATATATATATACATATCCGATAAAGATGACTTGGAGAGGAGCTAAGAAAAAACTAAGATGGTCTCTGAATCAATCTTTACTGAAAGATAAAGAATTTATACAAATAGCAACAAAGGAAATGGAATTTTTCTTTAAAATAAACAAAAAAGAAGAGACATCGCTTCAAAATGTGTGGGATACAGCTAAAGCATACTTTAGAGGTTTGGCTATAACTTACATGGCGAAAAAGAATAAAGAAAAAATGCACTAACAAACGAAGTTAAAGGAGGAATTTATAAAATTGGAATCGGTATATACTGTATAGTCTTAGGACTGATCTAGCATGTCTGATTTTAACTACTACTCTCAGAGATTTTTCTGCTCACTCTTACCAACAATGTTGAACATGCATAATGGACATGTTTGGTGCTGCTGGAGCCAAGGGTCCACACACTGCCGATGGAACTCATGGGAACAGGTGATGATCCGTAGTTCCTGTAAAATAGGAAAAAGCAATGGGATGGGAAGCAGTGATCTAGATTCAAAGGAAGAAACAGTCTTGATTTGGGTAGGTCAGTCTCCTATTTCTTGTGGCGAATCTCACTGGAAAGGTCTGGTGGGAATGTGGTTAAATCTCTGAGCTTTAAACAAGTAGTGAGGTTTAGGAATCAAAGTCTTGTGAAAGTCTTGTGTCTCCCAAACCTCACTACTCATTTGAGGTTTCATATGTTTTTTATCTAGTCTAAGGGTAAAAAAAGTTACAAAATGGTGATTTATAAAGACTAAAATAAGATAGTTGAATGATTGGGAAGAATTAAAATAGGCATTAGTTCATAGTTACAAAGTTTTTTGACATTGCTCCTTCTCCTGTTCACAGGTGGGGCCAGACTGATCTCAGTGGGAAGGCAAGGGTGGTCAGGGTGATCCAACCAGCATTATAGCACACATATGCCCCTTTTTCTACATGCATTATATCATCATACTACCCAAAAGATTTACAGAACTTGCAGTACAATGCTGTTTTTCATCATGTGAAAAATGCACTAAAATGCATTTTAGATTAATTTTTCAAATTTATGTAGCCCTCCACATAACAAAACATGACTCTGGGTGGAGTACAACAAAGTTTTAAAAAATTATAATTAGATCCAATAATATATCCAAGGAACAGTGCACACCAAGGAACTCTAGAATATAGAATGCACATGTAAACAGCCATGTTTTTTTCATTTCATCCACAGATTGGCTAGACTTGATTTCCACCTTGCTCTAAAAACAGGAGGCTTTGGCATTCTTCTCACTCGCTATAGTCTACTGTGAAGGGCCTGCTTATTTGACCTAAGAATCTACATGAGAACTCCCAAACCCAGAAAAATATGCTTACCTGCCCCTCACAAAATTCTTCCAAGCAAATTGCACATATAGGAGGAGAACTGCAGGTGCTAACAGAGTCCCCTGTTGGAGCATGCCGATGGGGGCCTTGATACCTCCGTATGGCCAGCCGGTTGATTGCTTGTATGGTCGCTTCCTGCACATTTGTCTGAGGAAGAATGAGAAAATAGAGGGAGGAAATCTTCCAAGGCCTCACTTCCTGCACAGCTGATATGGGTCGCAACAATCAGCATTTCCTCTCAGTTTAAATAGATGACCAAGTTAAAGGGGTTTGTGGCAACCTAGTTCAACCAAACCTCTCTTGCTTAATGCAGGAAATTCTTTAGGGAGCTGTATCTTCCTACAGTGTGCTGCTAGACCATTGCTATGGCAACAGCAATGGAAACCCACCTATATAAAGTCATGAGAATTTCAGGAGAACCCTGAGAACTCTTGTAGCAGCACAATGTATGGCAAATATGGTTGGGAGGCTGCAGACAAGAAAACTCGATTCTTTGATCTGCTGCTGGGAAGCTAGGTTGAGCCAGACTAGGAGGAGAATCTAGCTTTCCTTGTACAGTAAATGAATATTACAGAGTTGTTGGGTATATAAATGTATAAATAAACAGCTAAACTCATCATGCGGCTACTTTTTCAAAATCCCCATAATATGCTTCTATAAAACCTCTTTACATGTCAGATCAAAATTTAATTGGGCCCATCTGTCCCAAAAGCCTGCCTGCCCTTGAAATAGAGCAACCTGCTGCTCAGAGTCTCCAGAAATGGAGTAATACAAGTTTAAGTACAATATTAAATAAAGTACTGTTAGAGGTTTGGAATGATACAATACCCAATTCTTGTGCTTTGTGAGTTTTTGGTGCCATTGTAAAATATGTGTCTGACATCCAAAACCTATAGTTCAAATTCCATGGGACTTAGGTTGCATACAAAGACTCTCATGATATTAATGGATCACCAGAACCCAAGTAAAATATTAATCATATTATCGGAGAGAGGAACATTTTCTGAAGGATTGAGAATGTTTGATATCAGATGGAGTACTACTAAACAATTCTTACCTGATTTCTGCCTGGCTGACAACGAGTGCGAACAATGAAGATTATAACAATGACCAGTACTGTACTGACAACGGTGAGGAGTATCCAAACATCATAGTCTGGCTGTTGGGAAGACCCAAGAGATTAGAGCTCTGTCATTCATTCCAATAGGCAACCTCACATGATATGCCAGAACAAATCAGTGTAGTGATGAAGCGACAATTCAAATCTCTATACGCCCATACTGGTTTACGTTATATTATCCTATAATTTAGTCAATAATTTGATTAAACCATACAATTTATCTGAGCAAGAAATCAAACAGTATCATGGTAACATGCAGTAGAAAAGTAAGAGACATAAATATTGCTAATGCAAAAAGGAGTAAAAGAGAAAAGGTTAGATTAAGCTGGAATAACTAGAAATTCCACATTAGAATATTAAGTTTCAGATGGTGATGATTAGGCAGAAAATAACAGAAATATGTAGAAATATCAAATATGGATACATATAACCAACATAAAAATAATACAGAAAAAACCATCTGGGAAGGAATTATAAAAATATAAAGGGGGATTAAGGCTAGAAATATGAGGGATATCAGCAGAGAAGAGAAAGGAAAAAGAATGAGCAATCTGAGTACAAAAGGAACAAACAAGGAAATAGGAATGAAACTATTAAGAACAAATCCTACTCCCAATCAACAGATTTACTACAGAGGGGGAATCTGATAATATTATAACTAAACAAGAATGCAATAAAAGCGCACACATTAACAAAGAAAAGACTATTAAGATAGGACTGAGTGGTTCTTGTGAGTAAGAAGCTTGAAAGCTAGACTGATAGGCGTCTAGATGAAAGACATCTAAGACAACAAATGCAGACAACAGGACATGAGGCAAAAAGATGATTGCAACAGGTCTATAACAAATAAGTTATTGAGCCACACTAGGAAGGTAGAATTATTACAGAAAGTGAAGGAATCTAGGTTTAGGGTTCTAGCTCATATAATCAAAAGAGCCATTTCTGGCACAGCAGCAAGAAAAAAAATCACCATAAACTGGGGTTGAAAAAAAGCATACGAAGATAATACAGGTATTCCTTGACTTACAACAGTTCGCTCAGTGTCTGTTTGAAGTTACAACAGCACTGAAAAAGTGACTTATGACCATTTTTCATAATTACGACCACTGCAGCATCCCCATTTACATTCGGACGCTTGACAACTGGTTCATATTTATGAAGGATACAATGTCCCAGGGTCATGTGATCATCATTTGCGACATTCTGACAAGCAAAGTCAATGGGGAAGCCAGATTCACTTAACAACTGTATTACTAATTCAACAACTGCAGAGATTCACTTAACAACTGTGGCACGAAAAGTAGTAAAATGGGGCAAAACTCACTTAACACATTTCTCACTTAGCAACATAAATGCTGGCCTCAATTGTGATCATAAGTCAAGGACTACCTGTACAAAAAACATGAAATATGCAGATTTGGCAATAAACTGATTTTTTTTTTTTAAATTAAAAATAAAACTGACATTTCCAAGAAAAAATCTCAGTTACATTTCTGTTTTGCTTCAAAAGTAAATGCCCAAAGCAGAGAATAAAGACATTCAACAAGTAGTTTGAGAAAATCCAGGACCATTAACCAAAGAAGCAAAATAATACCTGAAAGCAAGAGGGAAAAAAGGAGAAAGAATGAATCAAACTCTTTCACAATGCAAATCTGCACAGTGATGAGATTAGTGACATCTTTTGAGGGCTTTGATGGGAAGACAAAAAAATAGTTTAAATTGGGAATTACCAAGGTGCAGGTAAAAGAAGATGGTAGATAGATAAAACAAACAGAAACCTTCTTGAGAGCAGCTAAATGTAACCAAGGCATGAAGAAAGGATGAATACAAGATTATGAATATCAGCAGCATAAATATCACAAATATGCCTTGGCTAAATTTCCCCAGTCAGCAGTTTGTTACATCTAAGTTGGCTGGAGAGGGATTGGTGTTATAACCAAACACATCTGGAAGAGGAATTAATTTGAGAAAAGTTATCCTAAACTAAAGAGGGGAGAAAAATGCATAAGTTGTTTATGATAAAACAGAAAAAAATGAGGCTAGTTAAAGTATAGGTACACAATCAACATTACTGTGATAGTGACTTCAGATTTTCATTAAGAATTTAGGGAGGGAAAAACTCAGGTGCTTACTTACCCAAGTTGGCATTTCCTTCACCTCAATCTTCACATGGGCTTCACGGTTATTGTTCACCACTCTCATGAGAAGTTCAGCATTGTGGCCCCAGATCAGAACAACAGGATGACTCAGCCCTTGAGGCTTCCTCAACTGTGGAGAGATGGAATATAAGCTGGGCTCTGGGACCATTCTACAAACACTCATTTGGCTTTGGGAAAACATGGAAACCATTTCCTTAGCATGTTTCAGCAAAGACTGGATTCTTAAAATCTCATTAAGTCATATAGTATTGCCCAGAAAGCTGCTTGCTTAGTAGTCAGTTTAGTGATAAGACAATCCTAATGACCAGGTGAGACCATCAAGCTGCCTTGATGTCTAAAGCATGAAATCCAAATGATACTCCTTTCTGATTTAGCTACTGAGCCTTCATACACTGAGTTTGTTTAATGAATTGATAAGGCCACCCATCTATCCAATGAAACTCTGGACAGCAAACAAAAAACACAAAGTATCAATAGTTGTAACACACACACACACACAGAGCCCAGATCAACGTTTCCTCATTAATATCTTAGGATACCCATCCTATATATCTGTACACTGGAGCTTCAGAACTAACAGCCTGGCCTGAATGCCTGAAGGAAGAGTTAGTAAGATTAGGAATGATCCATATTTTGGGGCGAAGATGTTCCATAAGGCAGGCACCCTGCCAGAAAAGACATGCTTCCTAGGATCCACCAGGTGAAATTGCCTCACTGAGGGGACCAGGAACATGCCCATTCTACCAGATCTAGTGGGTCAGGCAGAAACCGTTGGGGAGAGGTGATCCCTCAATAACTCTGGTCCCATTCCATGCATCACTTTAAAAGTGATAACTAGCTCCTTGAAGTGCAACCAAAAGCCTACAGGAGTCACTGCAGAGCACATAGCTGTGTGTTATGTGGGTGTATCATGGTGCATGCAATTCTGCACGTGCCACTGCATTCTGGACCAGCTGATGCTTCTAAATACTTCTGAAGGCAGCTCCATGAAGAATGTGTTGCAACAGTCCATATGC